TCTCCCCTACAAGCATACAGCAATATCCATGAAGGACACTAAATGGACCTCCTTGAGATCGAGAGGTAATTGTCTTCATCAGCTCAAGTTCCCCTAATAGCCCGCTATTTCTGATTTGGGAAATAAGCCAGAAGTTACAAATCGCGTCTTCATCAGCTCTAGACCCGACCTCAAAATTCGAAACTCGAGCTTGAGATACTTTGCTCAGCGTTCACACAAAGTGCGAGTCTTCGGGCTGGTGAAGACGCACCGGACAATAGCGGGATATTTTGCCAAATAGTGGGATATTTTGCAAACTAGCTAGCCCAAAATATCTTGAGATGATATAATCTCGACCAAATATCCCGCTAATTGCAACTGCGGGCTGAATGAAGATGCAAATTAGCTGGATAATTTGTGATCGGGATAGTTAAAATAGCGGGTTATGTGGTAAACTCAAGCTGATGAAAACAGGCCCACTGCAAATACACCTTTCTTTGTTTGTTGTCCAAAAGAGGGGGGGGGGATATTTGAAAAGATAAACAAGCCTTTTCTTAACCTATTTTGGGGTCTTTGTTTATTCTTTGGATTTTCTTTCGAAGGTTTCCCATTACACTTCTAATGTTCAAGGGATTGAGTAAACAGATGCCTTTTGTGGATGAGAAATCGATCAATGGTTTCTATTATTTGATGATCAGTTTACGTTCGTTGGTAAGTCATGATGTTTAGATTCCCAAACATGCTATCCCCTGGAGACAGTAGCAGGATCCATCTACAAACCAACAAAATATTTGAAATGAAATATTAAATGACAGAAGGAGGAAAAGAGGTATCCAGGGGCAATTTCATATGGTCAGACAGCTGGGTAAAAAATGGAATCTTGATTCATGTCCAGATTTTTGTTAATGAGGAGCTGGATTTATGATTTAAATTGATATGTCTCGGTCTGACTTTTGCTATTTTATTTCCTAAATTTCTTCAGATTCTTTATTATTTTTGTGCCCAATAAAAAATATCAAATAAATACACACAAAAATGAAAATAAAGAAGGGTAGGGAATAGGAAACTAGAGGACAATTTTCTAGGATATTTTTATATACCGGTAGCACTTTGTCAATTTCAATTTCTACTTAGGGCGCGTTCATGCTTGATTTTGAAGGCAGAATGAGCGATTTGTAACGCTCATCGTAATCGCAGTTCCACGGTGCACTGTTCATGCTCACTTCTCCAGGCAATTCTCCTTGGGTGGCCTTCAGCTGGATTCGCAAACCTGTGTGCGCATGCTACGTAGACCCACTAGAGGTCAGTGCGTTGACCCCATTTAAACACGTTTACAAATTGTAAACGCATCTTTTTGTGAGTTTACAATCGGCGATCGTGATCGCCGTTTTTCGTTGATTCTACAAAAGTGAGCATGAACGCAATCGTGTTTTAAACTAAACGCGTAACAGATGCCTGATTCTGGCCGTCAAAATCAAGCATGAACGCGCCCTTAGATTAATTTTAGTCTAGACTGATAGAATCGCATATGCTGTTGTCAAGCCTAAAGCTCATTAAATTAATTCATTTATATGTCAATACACAACCGAAGCACTTTCATTCTAACATTAAAATGGTATTAATTAGTAAATTAAACTTACTTAGCTGCTACATAATTTCAAAGGACTGAATGTTTCCATACTAAATAATAGACCACCTTCAGAGATGGGTGCCCCAATGATACACTGCCTTTTGTAGTAAGCTATTCCAGTGACTTGACAACAATGATGAACAGGAATTCAATCCTTCATTATATACAATAACTAACTAACCATGTAATCTGTCTATTCTCACAATACAATGTATCTTTCAAAGGGATCATAGTACACGCAAATGGACTAGTAGTCTTGGTTTGCAGACTTTCATGTACTCATGTACCCGATGTGTGATGTATTCAGTTTCAATATTAATTTACAGCAAGTCAACTACATAATATACTGAACTCACAAGGATTACAAGCACATAAATTAGTTGACATATTGCCCATTTCTTGTACATGCACACATACTTCTGATACTCTTACTTCTTTGGTGAAGGAAACACAATTATAAAATTACAATCGTTATATTTCCATTAGTGTCAATGGTAGTAAAAAATAAAATATGTTTTTTTCAAATTTGTTATTTGTGTAATGTAAATGGGAATAGGCCTAAACTTGAACTGACAAGTGTTCAGATGAAGTGGCTATGCTGTCTACTTGAGCTTATTCCTATGAGCAACAAAGCCACAAATTTGTGAGTGAAAATTTGACAAACTCAACAAAAATAGAAATAAAAAGAAAATAACAACAGATGCAGCTATTTTTCTTCTCCTACAAACACCAACCAATTGTTTTTTCCTCACAAATACCAAGACGTATTTGTACTTGAAAACTCAACTGAAATTACTATAAGAGCAAAATAACAAAATGTACACATTTTTTCATTTATGCTCTTCATAGTAATCATTACATTTTCCAAATGTGTTTTTCATAACAAATTCCAAGACAGCTTTCTACTTGAAAACTCATCGGAAAGAGGAAAAGTACAACAGATGCACATTTTTTTCTCATAATGCTCTTCACAATAAGCATTAAACTTTCAAATGTGTTCGTCCTAACAAGTTCAAAGATAGACTGCTATTTGGAAACTGAACAGGGATAGAAAATAAAAGAACAAATTTCAAAAGATGCTCATTTTAATGCACTACACAATAATCATTAAACTTTCAGAAGGGTTTTCACCTGCAAATTCCAAGACATATCGAACCGGAGTAGGTTTCTAAGCCTGGTTACTATGGGATCAATTGAAGTAGCACTTGACTAGAGTGAGTGACTAGACATAGGGTTAAGGGGATCAAGCCTAAACTTTAGTATCCATCCCCCCTGAAAGGCTATTTTGTCATGAGGAGTTACCCTGGGATTAGAGGGTCTATTGATCGATGTCACAAGTAGGGAAGGGATGGATTGGGTCATTATCACCTCTAACAACTGAAACAAAATATTGATTGTCACACCAAGGATAGGACAATATCCACTTGCCTTTTTTCTCTCCTCTCTGTATCCATCACATTCTCTTTTGTTTAGTTCACTGTTGTAATCAATAAGGTACTGATTTGGGCTGAAGATGGCATGCAAGTTTGTGGGATTCAGATCTATGATTTTTTACTCTATTAGAAAGCACATGCTTATTTTAAAATCTACAGTTTACAGTTACTATGTAGTGCATTAACTTCTCAAACCAGTAAAATATTTTCCAGACTTTTGACGAAAACTCTGGTTACGGTAGCTAAGTAAATCTCAAGAAATAAGATATCAGAAATCAAGATAAACATCAAAAGGTGTTGCAATTTCTGACATTTCATCTATTAAACATTTCAAATGTAATCTTTTCAAGTTGATAACCCATGCACGCTACTTAAGAACCCACAGACTAATAATTCTCTTACTCCCATGGCATACGTTTTAATACAAGAGCCACCCAGTTCCCTTTTTTAGGCAACTGATTAATATGCAGAATGGTTTTGGTCTTCTAATCTAATGTAAAATAAATAAGAGATTTAAAATAGTTAATAAAAGATTTTAAATAGTAAATAATTTATCTACTTGACAAATATATCATATCATTTTTCTCTCCTCTATCTCTAATACTCCAGAATTGTCTCTGTATCTCTGAGACATGATAGGCATCACACTGAATTTCGTAATATTATTTTGACACTTGCCACTGCTGCAAACAGCCTTTAAACAGCTCACTGCTCCCTTGTATTTTTATTTTCATTTTTGTTTGCTGCTGTGTGAACATAAATGACTTACATTCTTGTGGCCATGAACAGTTGATACATCATATCTTTGGAAAGTCAAACATTTCCATGCATACAAGAATATTGATTAGTAATCAATAGAGCATGTACCTAATAGCATCTGCATGGGCAAGAATACCGCATCCTTATTCATTTCAAGGTCAAGCTTCAAGATTCTTCCTTCCTCTTGAGGCAGAAAGCTATGGCCTCGCCCTTTATATAGAAACTAATAATATCAGAAAACTATACAATGTATTTCATATTGCATTATTGGAAGCATGAACTACAAAAGATGGGAGCTACAAAAATGAATATCTGTATCCATCCATTCCAATTCTTGCCTCGGGTGTACTAGCATTGAATGGTAATTTCACTCTGGGGAGGGGGGGAGGGGGAGGGGGGAGGGGGAGACCTGAACATCATCTGAAAACACCATAAAGCACTCTAGACTTTGATCTTTTTATAGGGTTCTTTTCAGAAAGTGATTTTGCAGATATACATTGCTCGTGTGAACCCCCCCCCCCCCCCCCCCCCCCGTTGTTTTTAAGGGCCGAGAGTCAAAAAGAAATACAGTGCAACAAATAATTCACACCCTTCACTCTCTTCATATGCATTAAATTGCCGCACCGTTGTTGGTAAAGCCCCTCCCACCCCGGCCCGCCCATATAGGCCTACACAGCAAAAAAGCTTCCCTTTTATATTCACCCCTGCCCCCACCCATGGACCAACTACGAACGTCCATGCTCCCCCTCATCATTCTAGATACAGCAATATGTTATTTTGAAGGGAAAACATGACTTTGAATTAATAGACCATTTATAAAAATGCAACAGATGGAATTTGATGGAATTATACTACAGCTGTTTTACTTGTCAATTAGTGTTCACATTTGAATGAACCTTGTTCAGTTGTCTGAGAAATCAGACATTTTGTTTCTCCGTTTATATCATGCTTACTGGACTTTTGATGCCTAAAAAATCCAGAAATACTCATACTACAGGGCAGCAAAATACTATAGTATCAGATTTGATACTGTAGGCCTAAAAGTCTGTAGTCTGCATTCTGTACAAGATTTTCAGAAGATCATAAAGATACATTCTCATATCAATATAACATTCACATTTATTGGAACAGTCTTTCTGGTGTCATGTTTGAATATTTTGACATATTGACTTTTCATCCTCCCTTATATATTTTCCTACCTTCATTGTGACTGTAGATCTACTGGTCTGAGTCTCCGCCTCTATGCTTATAGTTCCACGCCGGTCCATGCGGCCATGTATCATACTAATGGTTCCTACACCAGCAGTCCCTGATGAACTTGTAACTTCCAAGCCTCCGTCCGCCCCGCCGGACCCGCCGGCGGTCCGGACCTGAAGATGCTGCTGAACGCCAAACGACGACGGTCTTGGAGAATTCGATTCGTCTGAATCTCGGCAATAAACAACTCCACTTTGTGAGACAGTAATACTGGGCGCACAGCCCATGGCAAGCCACAAAAATACAGAGGGTTGATGATGGTAGGTTCCTTTAAAAAATCTGTGAATTTAATTCCCGAACTGATCAATATACTCCGACTTTGCTGTACGCCGCATCACACCACCTCCGAAGGATGCCGCTCACACACAATAACAAAACTGCGCTCAATGTAGTTTTTCATGCATTATTGCGATGGCGGTAGTGCACGGCGCGCATCTATTGGTGTCTTGTTGGTACCGTGGCGCGCTAGCTCGAGAAGATGCGTCGATGATGTAGCGAAACAGCATCTAATGATCATTATCATTATTATCATTAGGAGAGGGATGTTCTCCAAGCGGGATGGAGGCGGTTGGCCTTATTAGTCCCTATCGTTTTATTTTCTACATGTTGCCAACTATGACGTAATATGCGGATATGATGATGGAGTGGGTGGGGGCATAATTTTGGTCGATACAGGGTAGGGTGCACTGATATACTATCTACAACATAACGTTGCCCATCTTGAATCTTTTCATGCCATATGATCGTGACAACATTGTTTATTCTTGATATATCAGACTCCGTGACTCGTTTTATTGATCAACAAATTAAGCTCTGCATGAGAAGAAAGAAATCGAGAAAAAAAATCAATCTTTATGGGCAACATTGTCCAATAATGGGAATGGAACAGTTACAAGTTATTAGGGGGTAGGCGATACACGTAACCCCTTGTTTGGGGTAAAGACCCTCCTCTGCCCCTCCCCCCCCCCCCCCCTCCTTATTTTTTCTTAGAAAAACTTCACTGATGCCTAAATAGGGCGTTTTACACTTTCGTGCCCATTCTTACGATCGTGCTCTTTTATCATTGTGCCCACTCCCCCAACAAAAATACATTCCACCGCCCTTGTTTATGTTCGCCTAGAAAAATATTCAAAACAATTTAATTCGTTAAGTTCTCAAAAGGATCCCAGCTCATCTGCGATTATCGTCAGTTTTTATAAAGACAGGAAAATCGGAGGAACAGAATGATAAAAGTTTGAGAAAAATTGGACAATAAATTAAACAAAATTATGACCTTTCAAATTAAACTCCGTTTCCTTGACAATCAGCCATGCATGAAGTCTTTCATCTACGGCTGATTGTCAACGAAACGGAGTTAAGTCTTTTGTCAACTCTGTTTGCTGCTACGGCAGGCAGCCAGTGAAAACGAATTCGTTTGATAAAATTTTGGAAATGCAAGCGCTACTTTAAACAAACAGAACTTGGTCATTCCTTGCTCATTTTTCATGATTGAGGTGTCATATGGAAGGGCAGAAACTCAACTTTCTAGAAATGTGATTTTCTCTTTGAAATTCAGATACCGCCTGCCAAATGATTTTTTGGTTTCCTCTCTTCAAATTGGTTTTAATCACTCATGCGTGAAATATGCACTATATGAGTTGCATCAAATGAAAGAGGAGGATCTAAGCTTTCCAAATATGTGTCATTTATTAATTATAATTGTGATTAAGTTATGATAAAAACATCGATAATTCTCGGTTTCGTTTTTTCTGGGACGCACTGTATAACAACTACCTAATGCTTATCTTTACTACTGTTAAAACATCAACACTTGTTGGCACAATATAATGCCATCCCTCCCGTTCGTCATTCCTACCCCCCCCCCCCCCCCCCCCCCCCCTCCTCCTCCTCCTCCCTCCGTGTACTTTAGAGAAAACGAATAGGACAAGGCCCGATGTATCCCTTTTATACACATTGGTTTAACATAAGCGAGAATCTAAAATGCACTCATAACTTGGCCTATTCATTTTTTTTTCTCCATATTTTGATCCGACTGAACATTCAACGTAGTGGGCGCAGTAGTAACACAAAATCAGCTGCAGCAACACAAAATCATCTGTAGTGCAGTGGTTATGTAACCACATCACTTAGGAAACACACAGTTCAAGTTATTGACGAAACGACGGATTCCAGCAAGGCGATGGCAAATTTGAAAGTACCAGAGAGAATTCTCGTTTACCTTCGTAATTTATCAAAGGGGTCGATAGAAAGAGCTGTTTTTAAGGATGTAAGAGTGCACAGATTTTACTTAGCTACAATTTCGCCTACAGTCCCACACTAACATTAGTTTGTGTGTGTAGTCTACATGCATTAATTGAGAATGACGATAATGTTGTTGATGACTTTTGTCTTGATGATGATGATGATGATGATGATGACGATAATATGTAGCAGCGTATCCAGGATTTTCCAAAAGGAAGTGGGGGGGGGGGCAAGTTCATGCTCTTGAGTTTTTTAGCAATACAGAACCTTGGCACTCTCGTGAAGTTACTGGCACTAGCCACTGCACTAGTCTAGTGTATACAATTTTACACACAAACTTCTGTATTCTGAGCTGTGTATAATACTAGTCTATGCTTATGGGGAGATGGAATCTCATAATATCCCCCACAGGCATTACACGCAATCGCGCAATGAACTGCTACGTCAAAAGTCAATGAGCATTGGCTTATTTCACGAAAATGACAGCACCTTCAAGAAAGCCATTTTGAACAGTTAAAAACTCTTATAAGTATTATCTATCCCTTTCAAGTGGGGGGTGTCAAGGCCAGGGGAGAAGTTAGGAAGAAGCCTCCGGTCTCTCCTGAGTTTATATTCATTAAGAACCACTATTAAAGATTGCTTTCACCAGCTGCAAAAATTATAATTTTTCTCCTGGAAAATGCGATATCATATATACTGCATATGAAGATTCACAGTTAAAACTGTAACTCCTCATTTATCTTGACTGTATCTTAGTACCGGTACACAGTAAAGTTTCTAGATCATTTTTGGCAATAGTTTTTACCTTACTCCTCAAAGCAGTCAATATAACAGTCCATTTAGGATGACAAAAGCATTGGTCTTAGTAATTGCCTATGCCGTCAAGTTGACCATATTCGGTAGGAATACTTCATAGGGAGTGGAGATGGTGCACATTGTGCATGAATGAATCTGATGACCAGGGTATTAATATTTGTAAAGCGCTTAGCGACGATATACCGTATTAAGCGCTATATATAAATCCAAATTATGGTATTATTATTTGTGGGCATTTTGCCCTGTTGTGTAGGTAGTATTCCAACGAAGGTTAATCTATACATGCTTTCTATTATAATTTGTGTGACTATTTCTGAATCTATTTTCATTTACTGTGTAGTGTATCTTAGACTCTCTGGGACATAGTGGATTAGAGGCCCTGGTCAGCTGTACTTTAGAAGACAACCGACTCGTAATATCAAATCCAACCAAAGAAACAGATGCAGTTGTACTAAAGGTTAGCGCATTTACTGTAAAACCCAGAAAACTTCTGTGCATTAAATAATAAATATTCACAAAGTTTGCGAACTGTTCAGATCTTTGCAAAAGTGTTGTACCATAAAATCTTTGAAGTACAATTTATAAGACATTTAATTTTTGTGATTCAAAATAGTTTCTTGATTTGGAAATATGCTCTTCTTTAAAAATCACAATGGTTTAAGGTTTTACAGTTATAACATTTGTGTACCAATGGCACAAAAATAATTTGTATTAGAGTGATAGCGGTAACTTATTGATATACATGATAAACATCAAGGGCCCAATTATAGACGCTGCATTGGTCTAGAATCGGATTGTAGGGTGGCATTGATAACTTGTGTCATGTAAATTGTGATAGAGCTGGTCATGAATAGCATTTTCAAGAATCTTTCAAAATAGGTGGCAAGGCCCAAATAGGTCTATAGCTTTCCACCCTAGCACGGTCATCACCTTTTAAAGGTAGGCGTTACTACTGCAGCTAGAAGGAATTAGATCACACAGCGAGCCAACGAGGTCACTGTGACAGGTGGCTATCTCATTAACTCAGCTCTCATTTAACATAAGAAAAAGAGGATCATGGGGGACCAACAGGCACCAATTTGGGAAGTTTTCTATATAGAGGGAGCAAGTAGCTACAAGTAGGACAGTGTGCCTTTAAAAGGGGTGTTACTTTGACTACTTTCCTTCTCTTAGGAAATGTACTCATTTGCCAGGTTTATTCATTATAATTATATGCTAAAGAAAGAACATTGTGTTTAATATACTGCATATTTGTTCAATACACTGTATACATGTGTTTCAATGGGTCTACGGGTGAGGGCTTACTTATGACAGTTCATAAAACACTGCCCTCTACTTTCAAACACAAGAAAGATAGTATCCCCATGTGTCTCTTTTACCCAGCATCCTTCATTCTGCCCTTGTCATGGCTTATCGTCCAGTGATGTAACTAACATAACGCAGGAGGTGCTTGACCGTGGTGTGGACTGTGGAGTGGTCACTCTGCTCTGGTCCTCTGACCAGTACCTTCTCTTGACCAGAAGAGCATCCCATCTCCGTAATTTTCCAGGCGTCTGGGTTCCTCCAGGCGGTCACTTGGAGAGGGGAGAAACGGTGAGTCTAAAGTCCTTTCAGATGTTTCCAAAATGATTTTGCTTTTATTTCATTGTGTCCACGGCTCTGCTCCACAGTACAATATTACTTTGATAAATCATTAATATCCATCCAGATCTTCATTTTGTCAGATCTGCACTTTCAAAACTCTCTTCTTGGTCTTCCTAAGCTCAATACTAAGTTGGGGGGGGAGATCCTTTGCCCATGCTTCATTGTGGAATGCTCTCCCTCAATAGATATAATAGCCGATCAGTTAAAGTGTTTAAAAATAATCTCTAAATGTATCTGTATAATTTGACATATAATTAATTGTTCTTTCATTTTGGTATGTTCTGTCTTAGTCATATTCCTTTGTTTATAATGCAGTTGCTTTTATGTGATCCTTTTTTTTTCTTCTTCAAATGTACACCTTAATCATTTGCTTTTGAAATGGATTTAGTGCCTTTTAGATCTTATATATTATTATTATTAGTAGTAGTAGTAGTAGTAGTACTATTATTATTATTACTATTAATATTTTGAGGTTGGAGTTACATCATCTTTAAAGCAAAGAATGAATTGAACTGCAGAATCTCCAACCCAATAAATTAAAGAGAAGGTTGAGTTCTGGGAAGAGGTGAAAAATAATTTGTGAGCATTAGGTACTCATTCTTATTATGCAAGTGTGGAAGAAAATCAGTTAAGACATGTTCCCTGAAAAGCATGGCTCTTCAAATGCCTTCATATTCTAAATATGCATGTAACATCGTAAAAATCGGGGGGGGGGGGGGCCGGCTTTTTACGCCACGTGTTCGTGTAGTCCCATATACATCTTTCTGTGCAAGTGTTTGTAACTTTACCAAGACTTGGCCACATTTCTTATCATTTTGATGATTCCAGAACCTTGCAATACACACAAATTCTAGTATGCTAGATGATCAACCTTTTCTGGTCGGTTCCACACCGTTTCTTTCACAATGCAATCGCATGACCAGAACTCAACTTCATCTTTAAGCTGTGTGATTATCATCATTATAATTTCATTATTATCAATTCTTCTCTTCTCTAGCTAGTTGAAGCCGGGTTGAGAGAGTTACATGAAGAGACCGGAATTGAAGTAGACCCAAATAAATGCAGTCCGAATATAGTTGCTTTATGGGAGGTAAACAAACGTTTGTTTTACTCTACGTGCTTGCAATACTACTTCTTTTGTCATTTATAACAAATCTTTAGGGATTTATTTAGCCTACAAGAAATCAACTTAATTGGAATCATCGTGTCATCGGGTTGGGTCTGGTGGTCGCTTTACCTGACCTTTTGTGTAAACATGCCCCTTTATTCACAAAATGTTGGGGGTAATGTTTGTGAAATAAACCCTCTCATATACATATGGTCTGGTCCAATTTACCTGACACTTTGTGGAAACCTAAAGGCAAATCTATGAAAGGTCGCTTCCCTTAACGTGCTTCTTCACCTGAACTTCCATGTTTGTTTCACGAAGGGTCGTGTAACGCGACTAACCGACCTGAAGCAATGGCCTGATGATTCAATGTAAGCCCAAGCATTCTATATTAGGACTAAATTTCACTTGATTTCCAGACTGTTATGACTTTTATGACAATCAGAACTGTGGAGCTTAGACTAAGTATGCCTATCCATAAGCAAACCTTACTAAACAAATCAAGAGTCAGATAAAACTGCTGTAATGCACTATAAATCAAATGCATTTTTTATGTTGTTGTAAATTTCACGTGGCAAAATATGTAAGAACATCTATGTTGATTTATATGAACAAAAGAGGAAGGCTAGGATGAACTGTTCTTTAGGAAGATCATTATCTTTTGTATGTAATACTTTAGCCCCCATAAATCATTCTAAGAACTCTCTGAATTATAAGTTTTAAAGCCCCACTGCACTACTTACAACTACTTGCGCCCTCTATAAAGCAAACTATGCCTAATCAGTGACCATTGGTCCCCCATGATCCTCTTTTTCTTATGTTAAGTGAGAGCTGATTTGATGAGATAACCACCTGTCAGTGACCTTGCAGGGTGGTCTAATCCCTCCTGTAAACTAGTACTGATAGGCTTTAAGTAGACATCTTATACCTTCTTCCCTTCAATTCCTTGCAGTCTGTTTATCCACCTTTACTGTCCCGGGGTCTCCCCAAGAAACACCACATAGTAGTCTACCAGTCAGTCACTTCATCCAAAACCCACCAGCAGCTAGACGCAGAACTCAAGCTGGATGCCAATGAAGTTGGTGCTTCAGCCTGGTTAGAGGAGTCTATTGTGAGGGCACTAACGAAGCTATCAGAGGAGAGTGGAGAGAAATGTGAGGCAGTACTGAAAGAGATTCCTGATACAATAAGGTAATGATTTTAGGGAATGTGTTGGTCAAGTCAAGTGAAGAAATACATGTATTAGTAGGATATTGGGATTAGACGAAGAAATTTGGTCAGTAGTCACAATTGGATGAATTAATGTATCTCTGATGTTCTTTATCCACAGACATAACAAATCAACATATCTAATCCAAATAGAACCCACTTAAGTGTGGCATATACAGTGAGTTTGAAAAGTTACATAATCATGGTATTATTAGCTCATTGAAAATGATGGTAAAATCCTGTTTTGTGAATATGAATATATTTAATGACCCATTTTTTTTATTATCATTAAATAGTCTTGGTGCTACAATGATTTCAGATTTTTTGTAACTGATTTTCATATTTATTTCTTTAAGATTCCATATTGTACAACACAAAGTTGTATTACTGTTAATAATACATTAGTTTGCTCAAGTGTGAATAAGTAGAAATTTTAGGCTGTTTAATAAAAAAATATACCTCATTACCCGTTGACCTTTTATATATTTTCATTTAACATTAATTATATGGCCTAAAAATCTCTAGTAGCTGAGACCAGGCTAATTCTGGGCGGTTTAAAAAAAGATCTAAAAAGCTCAGTAATTATTTCTGATGTGGAAAAATTGGAGAAAAATATAAAAAACTTACAATCTAAAAAACTTACAATTTGCCATCAATATTAACTTCTATGGCAACATCATTCAACAGCCAATCAAATCAAGGTTTCCATGAAAGTTACCATTAATTACAAAGCTACCATCAATTGTAAGTTTTATGCAAATGGGCCAAGGTGTAAAAATGCAAACAGGCTGCAAATATTGCACTTACGTGTATGTAATGGCAATTAAATTAAGAAAATAATTATACAATAACGATTCTTTTCTCTCAATTCTATCATAATTACAGAGGCCATGTTGTGGATCCCGTCACAGGGAAGGCAGCTGATGATCAAATACCCACCAGAGTCTTCTATCAAAGAGCGCCACCTAGTGGTGAAGATATAGAGAGGCTCAGCACAGGAAGCTTGTTTGCTATGCAGAGTTGGTTGAAGAAGTATTCAGCAGCATCGTGACGGCAGGATTAGAGTTGCCCGATCGGAAGTTCCTATTCACAAAGCATCTCTGTCTGCTTACAACCGTACTCGCTTGAACACCAATTCGGCTATGAAGCATCGGTTGAAAAAATAACACTGCAGCATCATGACGGGGGAATTAAAGACCCTGTCGAAAGTGAAAAAGGAAATAGATGAATTGTACATCAACCGAAAGCGAATGAGCCACAGATTAGAATAATACCAATTATATGCTACTTTTAGTGTATGTCAGAGAAGTAACAGCTCTCTGAAAAATCTAAATCTAAAGCTTTGAAAATCAGAAGTTGTCACCCTAAAAACTAGCTATCAACTTGATGACATCATGTTATGCGGAGTATGCATAATCGCAATGACTTTGCATTAATTAAGCCCGGCTCATGGCCTCAGCTATATACATGTAGGCGAGCCAATTGGGTCCGCATGTTATGTCGTTACTGTTGCTACGGCAAATCTGACCCCTGTTGACCCGTAATTTGGTGAGGTGCGGAAAATGAGGTTTTAATTTGCTTTTGTGCAATACTGTAAGGGAAAATATTTGTTATTCCTTTAAATTTGTATCCTACATACATTCAGCTTTCCATTGATATAAAGTTGTATTTTCATCAGATTTGAGTCTTCAAGGATGATGCAATAGGAGTAACTCTGCATAATGCATCACAACTTGCTCACACCAGTTCTTGATGGAATTCCCATTTAATTAATGCTTGCACAAATCTGGCACGCAGCCAACTCTGTACCAACTGGTGGGACATTACCCAGTTGCGGGGTTTCTCAGAGCATGACTTAAGGGGAAGCAGGAAGTGTTCAGTTTGGTTCAGGAGAAGCAAATGTTTGAGAATTTCTCTGCAGGGGGGGGGGGGGGAGGGTGAAGTGCTTAAAAACGTTGTTATATGTATTAAGCGCTGTATAAACACATATTATTTTTATTTTTAAAACAGAAGTATGATGTAATGTAACAACAAAGTGCTTTTTGTTTCCGGGGTACTTACAGTTTCAGGCTTTACAAGAAGTTAAAACCAATTTCCTAGAATAACATTTGTATGAAGTTAAAACCTATTTCCTAGAATAACATTTGTATGAAGTTAAAACCTTTTTCCTAGAATAACATTTGTATGAAAGATGCAGCTGCACTTAACATGTAATTGTAGACCATTTCCATTTTTGTACATAAATCATTGATTGTGTAATACATTATATTTTTATACTGCCTTTTTAAGGAATTACCATTGATCTTCAGAATCTGCAATACATTGACTCATTTTTTTAATTTTTTAATTGGAAGTGAAAAAATTAGACAAATAAGGTATTGACCAATAACTGCTAGCGTGATATGAGATTGGTTACATTGGTTGTAATCTTGATTATGTGCCTCAAGCTTGAAGTAGTATGTGGAAGGGGTTACAGCAATTGTAATGGTTATTGAAGGCATTGTTAAACAATGTTTCCAATTTTACAAATATGAGATGCACGGCCTTGCCTATTATCAGTGTCTGTGATATGGTGTAATATTGAAGCCCTAAAAAATTGCTCTTCAAAATGATCATGAAGTGCTTTAAGACAGTAAAAGTCTTTAGTGACTGGTTTTTACCATACTCATTTTCCCCAGTAGACTGTAGTGTTATAAAAAATGTTTAACGATTTTTGAAATTTCTAATTCCAATCATAAATATCTTGATTATCAAACATGCGATTGGCTTGTAAAAGTCATGGGTTTCATTTCTGACCTAAAGGTTTAAAATTATGAATGCAGCATGAGCTAAATCCAGGATTTTGTTTAGAATCATATGCAAAGTTACCTAATACCTTTAAGAAAATTATGTATTTTTTAATCATGCAGGTATTTGATTTTACTTTGGTGGAGTCTGTGAATGTAGATTAAAATCTCTCAAAACTACTTGAGTGCCATGGCAGGATTAAAAAAACAAACACAGTCTCTTCCCCTTTGATTCACTGTCCATTGACTTGTTCATTCGGCCACATATATTTTTAGGAAATAGCTTTTTTGTAAGGAGCAATCTGTGTTCTGAATGATGGTTCATGAAAATTACAGAGGCCAAATTAAAACTCTTTTATATTCATCAAATGAAAAGTTTTGAACTTTATTTATGCATGGCTAAATCTGGAGTCTGTATGGTCTGATGTGTGTGTAATAAATTATATTTTTTCACTGCCTTTTGTAGAATGTGTCACTCAAAAGGTCGTTGTCCATCCTACATATTTAAAGCTAAAGACCAGTTATGGTCATGCAATTGCATAGTGAAAGAAACGTGATATCGATCAGAAAAGGTTGATCATCTAGCATAGATGTACTGCAAGGTTCTGGAATCATCAAAATTATAAGAAATTTGGCCAAGTCTTCATAAAGTTAGAAACACTGTACACAGAAGATGTATATGGGACTACACACACGTGCGCGACACGTGCATTTTTATCTCTCAACAGTATATAGATATACTAATTTACCAAATATATCAATTAGTAGGCGGTTTCCTGTCAAAATTTTTATCGTTGTGTAATATTCAACATATTCTTTCACATGATTGGTAATAAGAGCTTCCATTTCATTTTTTGAAATCGGGGCGTTTCCAATACTGGTCTTTACCTTTAAATTGTATAAATCTATGGGTTCTAAGTAATAAAGAGACGTAAAATATAACTATGTGGTCATTAGGAAACGTTACTTTAATTGCTGTAGGTACCTTTTTATATTTAGATAAATTTAGATCAATTAAAAAATATGCTTCAAGATGCAATGTTAATGTCATTTCAAACAATAAAGGAGCATATTAAGCATACAGATTCAATATCAATGATTAAACAGCACACAGATGGTTTGTATGAATGATAGGAATAAGAGAAGAGTGGAAAAGAGCCAGTTGGAGAGGGGGAGGGGATCGAGTGAGAGATATAGGGGTAGAGCGGGAGAGAGAGAGAGAGAGAGAGAGAGAGAGAAAAGAGGGAGGGGAGAGAGAGAGAGAGGGGGAGGGGGAGGGAATCGAGTGAGAGATATAGGGGTAGAGCGGGAGAGAGGGTGAGAGAGAGAAAGAGAGGGAGGGGGAGAGAGAGAGAGAGAGAGGGGGGAGGGAATCGAGTGAGAGATATAGGGGTAGAGCGGGAGAGAGAGAGAGAGAGAAAGAGAGGGAGGGGAGAGAGAGAGAGAGAGAGAGAGAGAGAGAGAGGGGAGGGAATGAGAGAAAATGAGGAGGCAAGAGGGGCACAGCTACTAAAACAGGCAATAAGGGGAGACAGAGCCAGGAAGAGCGAGTAAAGTGGGGAGAGATCGAGAGAGGAGAGAAAGCTAGGTAGTTTGAGATAAGGAATAGATAGATATAAGAGGACGGGCGGCAGCTAGAAAGGGGCAACTGAAAGAGGGTGAGAGCAATGAAGAGTGGAGGAGAACGAAAGAGAGAGAGAGAGGGAGGGAGGGGAGAGTTTTTTCTTCTTCTAAAGTGAGGGAAATAGGGTTGGGAAGGAAAGGGTAACGGATGGGAGCGAAGAATTGAGATAGAATATAGGGAGTGCAAAGAGATGGCTTGGAAGAGTGAGGAGAGAATAAGAGAGAAGGATGGGGTTGAAATAGAAAGAAAGACATATGGAAACAGAATGAAAGAGAGAGAGAGAGCGAGAGAGAGCGAGAGAGAAAAAAAACGCCATTATAAATCAATGACGCACGTGATTAGATCACAAGCTGTTGTATATTATGTGACGTGATTGTGCATGCGTTGGCATTGATTTACACTTGATTTCGAACTCCTGCGATGCTTTCTTTTGAACCATGCTGCCAAATTACACAATGGGTGCAGACAAAGAATTCAATAGGGACGAATGTTCCTCCACTCCCACCGTTACCAGGCAAAATCAATAAGGCCCACCCTAAGAAACTATGCACCCTTTTCTGCATGATAATAATATTATGATTATAATATTATGATAATAGTTGGTTTTTGTAAAGCGCTCATGTCTGTCAAACTTGACACTCCTGTCGCTCATCGTATTACCCCAGCTTTAGCATGGCTGCCATTATGGAGTCCTAGCATTTTTAAGGACAAATTCCTTCATGGTACCACTTTTCCTCACCTGGGTCAAGTGTGGCAAATGTAGATAAATGTCTTGCCAATGGACATTAGTGCCGCAAGGGGACCCGAACCATGTAATCCACAGTCCGGTGACTTATCCACTAAGACCACGACACCTACATGGTATTGTCCTTATTGCATGTGGGAATCATCTCTGCTAAACATGACTACATTCGGTTTGATTGTCATTACACCAACCATTTTCTGGTTTGATAAAGAAGACCTCGAAAAAAAGTAATTGCCCCTTCTCCTACATTATGGCTTACCAAAAAAGAGCCCCATGCCAAGCACATCACATTTATAGCGGTGGCGGGTCCAGGATTCCCTATCTGGGAGGGGGTTGGAAGTAGCCCCAAGGTTTGTGACATTTAATCATTAAAAAAAGGGAAAATTTTCTTCATTTTCAGGTATTTTGGGGAGCTTAATTTGATGGGGGCGTATCTAGGGGCCACATTCTTCGTTTGTAATTAGTGTGTAGGCCTATTAGGCGTATACACACTGTCTACCTGATTTGGTTTTGTCAGGGGCATGCCCCATAATTATGTGGATTTCCCTGTGCCCTATGCCCTCACATTCAGTCACGAAAAAAAATCAAAGGATAGCGCCTAAGGCCCTATGTGGCATTATATACATTGGTCTGTTGCACATGTACAAAATAAATAAGTTTTTGCCGAGTCATAATAATAATTGCGGTTGAAAAGTTTTTTTTTCTTCTGCTTTGTATGCGTGCTGGAAACATGCCAAATAGTTTTGTATAATGATCGACAGAGGATGTCATGCCGCTGAAAGTCGTGTACTTTCGAGTTAAAATAAGAGATGGTGGAGAGAGGGGGAGAGAGAGACAAAGAGAGAGAGAGAGAGAGAGAGAGAGAGAGAGAGAGACAGACAGACACAAAATTGCAATCGCATTCTTCTCTTTCCTTGTTCAAAGTGGATCTCTAGAAATTAGAAAAGAGCCATTAAAATAATTGCTCTCAATAGAGTGATCCATCCGTATTGTTTTTGAGTAATTATCATTATTTTTTATGGTCATACATAATATGTATGTATAAATATATATATTATGTGGGTTTTTAGTATTCGGAAAATAAAACCAAACCAAGGAAAAGTCAAAATGACGAAGATCCGAATGTGGGGGGGGGGGGGGGGGCAATTAAAATGCTTTCACTCGATCATAATTATATAGGGTGCCATATCCTCTCCGTGATAAGTGCCGCCCCTTGATATTGCTTATTCTCAAAGGTGGGTAACGAGAAACATGGACCCTACCTAGGGTCCATGTCCCTATCCGAAAACTTACCCAATAATTGAATAGAGCAGATTTTTATATATTTTTTTTATTTGTTTGTTGTTGTTGTGGGACACGGGTCGTTTGTAATTCCACCCCCAAAATCTACTATACTTATGACTGAGCACATTTTGCGATGAAAAGGGGGTATTAATGTTCCGTCCATCCAACAGACTTCTTGTTTCATCATACTTACCCCTTATCCATCGGGTTACCGCAGGTGTTATGATATGATATTAATCATGGATCATGAGGCTACTTGTAAGTTTGTGACCTTTTTATGACCTTTATCGCAAAAAAAAAATGATGCAAACGATTTTAAACAAGCTTTTGTATTATTAACATGAAAGGGCAGCTAGATATTCATAACAAAGGGGAACGTACCTCTCCCTGTCAAAAGGAGCAAAACAAGGGGGAAAGATAAATGACAGAGAAAGAGAAAGAGAGAGAGAGAGAGAAGGGGGGCGAAGAAGAAAAAGAATGAGAATGCGAAGAAGAAGGAGAAGGCGGAAACAAATACGGAGGAGGAGGAGAAAATTAAGATGGAGAAGAAGATGGAGAAGAAGAAGAAGAAGAAGAAGAAGAAGAAGGAGGAGGAGGAGAATAAGAAGAAGAAGAAGAGGAAGAAGAAGAAGAAGAAGAAGAAGAAGAAGGAGAAGGAGAAGAAGAAGGAGAAGAAGAAGAAGAAGAAGAAGGAGGAGGAGGAGAAGAAAAAATGAAGTGAAGTGGAAAGAGAAACGTGATGATAGGACCCCTTCTCACACCTTTCCCTCTCACCCGGCATGTAAAACCGTTACCACCCCCCCCCCCCATGATACCAGTGACACCTCAATGGCTCCATGACGCTATGCCACTGTTCAAAGACATGTCCATCTGAGGGGCGAACATGATAATAAATT